GTCTCCCACCTGACAGCTGTGGAGATATACGATTGGACTATGGACTGGGGTTACCAAGGGGAGGGGAATGGGTCATGTATTGATATCTATGCTTATGCACGCTTTTGCTCAGAACCAGCTTTGCCTAGCTTCTATTTACTTATAATCAGTAAAAGTACTCTTAATTCTGCAAAATGGAGTTGAGTGGTTTCTTTCTTGGTTATTAAGTGAAGCAGCATCTGACATGTTCTTTATTTGCAGCATATATCAATATGTCATCAAAACAGGGGATGACTCCTGGTATCCCCTGCAAAAGTTGTTCCATGACGCTTTGGAACAATCCAGGGACAATACTAACGCTGAATTGCACCCCTATGCATCACAATGGTTTGGGCCCCTGCTGTGGCACCATCTACAGGCAACTGCTGGTATGCCTGCACCATGTCCAATTTTGCAAAAACGTTTCCGGGGCCAAGTGAATGCAGTAAATGCTGTACAATGGGTACAGGGTAAGCGCTTTGTTGCAACACTTGGTTAATTTTACATTTATAGTCCACACAGATGCGGACTGACCCCTCAGGCTTGACCGAAGTCACTATAGGGGTCTCCCAGTGTGCATGATCTACCGGCTCTAGGATTCCCTGGCCAATTAACTTGTCAAATTCCAAGTCAATTTTGGGTCGGAGAGCGAAAGGCACTCTCCTGGGTTTCAGTCTAATTGGAGCTACGTTTGGGTCCAGATTAAATGGTATGGGGGTCCCCACGTACTTACCAAGACCGGTGCCAAAGACGTCTTCAAACTCCTTAAGGAATTCTTCAATGCTGTTGTCATGAATGGCATTGATTCCGGTTACTTCAAGGCCCAGGGGTTTGAACCAGTTCAGTCCTAGGAGGTTTTGCAATGCGCCGTTTACTACTGTCACCAGAAGCAGTCCATTGAATGACTTGTATTGTACCCTGAAAGTGACTTGTCCAAGAACCGGGACTCGGTTCCCTTGGTAGTTGCTTAGGTGGATGTCTGGAACTCGCAGCTTGTGCCTCTTCAGGTTGGGAACAATCTTCTTGAGTGTAGCCCAGGACATAATGGTCAGTGATGACCCCGTGTATCGATTTCCATGGAGCATGGGGATCCCTCAAGGAGGACTGTGACTCTCAGCTTCATGGTTCATGTGACGCAGGTCTGGCCGATGGTCGTGTGGTACGTTGCTCCAGTTGCTTGGGTCATGGTTGCCATGTTCCACGTCTCTGTGGCTTTGGGTATACCGGTTGATTCCGTGGCTGTTGGGTGGCAGCTGGGAACTCGCTCCTGCAGACTCTGGTGATGTGTCCCTTCCACTCACAATGCTGGCAGATGGCGTCCCTGAAATGGCAAGCCAATCTTTGGTGATTGCTTCCGCAGCCAGTGCAGGGTAGAAACTGTGATTCGAATTTCCGCATCGATTCCTTGCAATCAGTGCGCATGCGGTAGACGTTGTCATTGCTGTCTGACGCTACTGGCTCTGCGGTCTTGTGATGCACACCGGTGGTTTTGTGTGCGCTCTTTGGGATGTTCTGTTTCTGTAACGTTTCTGTCTACTTGGTCAAGGACTCGGTAGCCCTGGCTTCGTCTAGGGTGATCTGGAGCATGAGGTTAGTTTTAGCAAGCAGCCTTCTTTGCAAGTTAATGTCCCGAACACCACAAATTATGCAGTCAAGGAGGAGCTCATCTAGGTCTCTGAATTCACAGTATGCTGCGGCTTTTCGGAGCGCGGCAACTTATTGATTAATTGTCTAGCCTTCCCTTTGATTCCAGAGGTTCAATTCGTGCCTCCTCACATATTCGGACGGTCTGGGAGCGTAGTGTGTCCTCAGCATCTTTTGAAGCACCGACCAAGCGACCGAATGGAGTGGCATTGGCTCGAATAAGTCCTTCGCCATCTCGAACACCTCAGGTCCGCAGTAGCTTAAAACATCGCCTTCTTCCGGTCTTCGGAGAGGCTCAGTAGGTCATTGGCTTTGAGGAAGCAGTCGAACCTCATCATGTAGGACTCCCAGTGTTCAGTGGCTGGGTCGAACGGAGCTGGTGGGGCGTGCGTAGTCATCTTGTTTCTTGCTTGAAGCTGATTCAAATCTGCCACTTTAAGATGGCTGATCGCTGCCGTGCTTCACTCCGGGCTGCATTACTTGCTGGATTGTTTCTGCTCTCGGTCCCTAGTTGCCTTCCAATCCCACCTTCGTCGCCAATGTTAGATCGTGGGAACGGATGAGGTAGGCAGGGCCTCCGACCAATCAGGTTTGAATGAGTTCCTGCTGGTAACAGTGGACCTGAGTGAAAACTACTTACAAGGTTATTTACATGTAGATTACTCTAAATACTTAACATCTTATCCTCTTGTTTGCTTTTTTATAAGTAAGACTAGGTATAATCTTTATTGTCATTGTACTTAAATACAACGAAATTGGTTTTAACCTCACCGGTGCAAAATTATAACAGAAATGAAAAAAGAAAGAAAAAGAAAAAACTAGCGTGTGCATGGAGTGATTGGGTTGTATTTAAAAGTCTCACAGCCCAAGGATTGAAACTATCTTTAAACCTGTTTGTTCGGCTGGCTATACTTTGATGTCTTCTGCCTGATGGTAGAAGTGCAAAGAGACGCTGACCAGGGTGTGAATCATTTTTGCCAGATTTTCTTGAATAAGTGTCATGTAGCTAACTTTTTTTTCCAAATGAGAGTTTCAAAATTATGGTGTTTCAGTGAAGCTATTATCTATCAAAGCCTTGGAGGTAATGGTAAAGTGTGTAAATTAACTGCCTGCCAGCAGTGCAGTGTTAAAGAACTTTTCTTTTCTCAAGCAAGGAAAAGAAGAAGGAATATTGCCACAGGATTTAGTTCATTTTGCTTAAATCTGGACACTTATAAAACTGCTATTCCAAAACTCAGTATCATTACATGTTAATTGTAGACATAATATTTAAAATTAATTGTAGAATTAATATTTAATTCAAATTTGACCTTACTCAATATCCATGTTTGTTTCACAGAAAAGAAAGACAAAAAAGTGTCTAATATAGACTGTACTATGGAAATCTTATTTTCTAATAGTTTTATCATGAAAATGATGTTTTTTACCTAAATGTAGTTGAGATCCACTAGCAGTTTCATGTTTAGAATGAGTTATACTGTTGCATCATTTGATATTATGAATAGTTTTATTTCTTCACAGTTTTATTAACAAATTATCTTACATTTTAGTTGCTCAAGAATCAAACACACTTAAAACAAGACCAAGGTCTAGGTAAGTAAACAAAAATAAAAAGTCATTCTATCAGTATTTATTTTGCTGTTTTTTCAACAAATTGCAATTCTAAAGTAGACCAAGAGATTTAGCTATTACAATAATTCAGATAACACTTTTTAAAGGTTTTTTATTTTTTCATTTTCATACAAATAACCACATGTACACCATTGCAAACAACACTATTTTATATTATTCAATATTATGTCAATTCGTCTTACCATCAACCCCCATTGGCTCTTCTGCTCTCCATACACCATATTTATACTCTATCCATCGCTTTTTTCTCCTTCTCTTCTCCTCCTCCCTACCTCCTTTCTTCCCTCTCATCCTTTTCTTCTCTACTTCCCCTTTCCTTTCTCTTTCTCTTATCTCCTCTTTCCACTCCTTCTTTCTCTCCCCCTTCTCCCCCCCACTCTCTCTCCTTACCCTCTCTTCTTCCTCTTGCCTCTCTCCTCTCTTCCACACTCTTCATCTCATTTACATGGTGTAGTTCAGCATCTGAGCAAACTCCATTTAATGTTGATGGTGTTAGTAATTTCATTTCAATACACATCTTTCATATTAATAATTTCAACATATATCCTCCTTTAAAACAAAAAAAAGTATACATATATAGTAATATTTTAACCCACCCACCCCCCAAAATTTTGGGGGCAAAGTGTGGTCCTGCTTACAATTTCCAGCTATTCTCATCATAATATTGTATAGCTATACATCATTGCATGCCCCCAATTTTTAGTTCTCTCTTTATAATCTCAATAATATTTCATTATAAGTATATTTCAAGTTCCTCCTCCATTTTTCCATATCTTTACTTAGCTTACATTTAATTATCTTTTAATTACAATCCTTGCTATTCAATGCTTATTACAATTCTGTTGACCTGCTGTATAAAATAACAAGCAATATACACCTCACCTCATCTTAAAAGTTCTATATGTATCCATATTTCATATATTTTAACTTATATTTGATTATCTTTTCATTATCATATTCAATCAATTAGCAACTCTGTTTAACTATCATGTAAAAGAGTAAATCACATATCTCTATTCTTTCTATTTCTTCCTAGTGAGCCTTTTATCCCAAACTCTAAGCTGCTTTTCTTTCTACTGGGTATATATTCTTCCTTCTCAAACTTTTCCATCACCCCCTGCTGCATTTTTCAACATATCCTCTGTCTTCTCTTCCTCTTTTCTCTTATCACTCCTTCTCTTTCTTCTCTATTCCTGTCTGGGCATTTCCTTTCCTTTCTTCTATAATCCCTTCCCTTTTCTTTGTTGGGACATATCCCCCCTTTTCAATTTTCCCTGTACCACTGTCAAACCCAGTGAAATCTTTTGTCTGCTTTTTATTTTTTATTGCTTCTGAAATTTCACTACCTTCCCCTTCTTCTTCCCTTGCTTCTTGTTTCTCCTTAATTTCTAACTTCAAAATTCTATTTAAGTTTAATTTTAATGACTCATGCATATTTTTTATAATTTCACGTATTTCTTCAAATTCCCAACTTTCCATAATGTCCAGTTCAAAAGTTACAGTTAATTGGTGGGGGACATTCTTCTTTTCCACCACAACCACAAATTCAAACCCTCCTTAAATGCTTCGCTTTCTTTGTTCTTCCCTCTGGCAAATGGCTCCATATTCTTTCAACTCGATGATTTTCAGTAATACAACTTGATATTTTTAAATCCAGTTTTAATTCCAGGAAAAATAGAATTAGGAACAGAAAAAATAATGCTTTTTCTTGATTTTTCCTCTTGTTATCTTCCACCTCTCATTGATTAGGCTTGCTTAAGATATGTAAATTAGAACAAAGTCAAACAAAGCAAGTCTATTTTTACCTTCCATTCCCCCCCCCCTCCTTCTTTTCCCTTATGAGGTTCCCAATTGTCAGTTAATCTCTTTTAAAGACACAATCTTTTCAGATCCAAATTCAAAGTTTGCATTTCAATGAGTTAGTCAATTCTCATTTCTTTCTCCAAGTTGTTTAAAGCAAGCAGTTCTCTTTGGGCTTAACGATTTAAACCACATTTTTTTTCCTTCTTTCTTTTATTTCCGCCAAAATCCCAATCTACCCGTTCATGTTATTTTGTACTCACGTGATTCTTTGCCTTTCCAAATTCTGATGTGTGTCGGTTGGTTATTTAAATCGTCTCTCATTACTCTTTCCACACACTACTCCTGCTCAAATGCTTAATCCAGAAGCTTCAACTTTGTAGCGTCCATTTTACAATGTCGCCTCCCCCGATGCCAATTCAGAGAGCTAATCTCTGACCTACAAGGAACCTGTTCCGTTCCTCTGGGTCTGATAAGACACAGCTCCTTCTTCACTTTCCCTCCAGGAAAGTTCTGATCCAAAGATCCTTGGCATTAGTTTGTCAGCCAGACTTTTCAGAGCCCCCGTTTTTTTCTGTATGTCTTGCTGAGGTACTTCCGGTCTCTCCTCTATAATTCAGATAACACTTTTGAAGTGGACCATCAAATATTATATTGAATTTGTCAGACAGGTTCTAATTTATTGCCTTTTGACTGACAACTTCTGTGCCCGATAGCTTTGATATAAAAACGACATCACATAAACTGTTTTAGATAGAATTCTCCTCAAAAATAAGCATTTCATTTAGTAAATAGCTCTTTCTTTTATTTCTGCAGTTTTAATTGCCTAAAAGTTTTTATGATACAATTTACTAGATAATTGTACTTTCCCACATTATTTTGTTTTTGTGAAATGCATGGATTTTATTTATTCTACTTACAAAAATGGAGGCACATCACAGTAAATTTATAAATAATATAAGAAATATAGTGTCAAATACATTTCTAAACATAAACACACTTGAAAGTTCCTTGTAATAATTGTTCATATACTTTTCACATTTAAAGATGGCCACCTCTAATCCGTATCTGCAATAAATGCCATACCTAACTTAATTTTTTTTATCTTGACCTTATAATGAAGCTACAGTACTATAAGCCTAAGAAAGTTAAACTGTATAAACAAAGTGGGTAACTGTCAGTCAGAAAATATTTCCTATTATTCTTCCTATAGCAGTGATGGCAAACCTTTTCGGCACTGAGTGCTGAAAAGGAAGCGTGCACTTCGCGTGCTTGTCTGGACCGCAACCCAGAAGAGGAGCATCCCAGGGGGACATGTGCACGCCAGAAAATGAATTTTAGATTTCCAATGTGCACATGTGCGCTGCCAACTACTCTTCTGGATACTGACACACATGCACACATGACCATCAGCTGGCCGGCATGCATTTTCATGCTGGAAAACAGAAGACCAGCTCTTCCAGTTTCCAGCACTGACGCACACATGAAGGCTAGCTGATCATCGTGTGGTATGAGCGCCAGGAACCTGGAAGCGGAATAGGCAGCGAAGCGCATGCCAGGCAACAGCTCCGCATGCCATTCGGGCACACGTGCCATAGTTTTGCCATCATGGTCCTATAGTATTAAGATTACAAAGAGAGAAAAAAAGTATCAACAAAACAAGGTATTCTTTTTGGGGGGTAATATTTTTTATTGTATCTAAATGACAACTTATGCAGTTTTTAACCAGATGGTTTTAATAAGTGACAGAATGTACTGTAGATATATTAGTGGATTAATTTTTGTTCCTTTTCACATATTTTAGAAAATTAAATCCCTGTGTAAGAATATGTCCACTGTTTAGTTCCCATTCAAAATGTGTGGTCCAAGGTGTTTGAAATATGCATGTTTCCGAGAGTAAAGATTGATTTGAAAGCAATAAAACAAAACAAAATTAACTCTAGCACCAACTTTTCAAAAGTCAGTTTTATTTGAGTTGCAGTTGCTAAACTCTGCCTCTTTTTAATTCACTTTTGGAAAGAGTGTTCAAAGTGCCTGGGAACGTGAGCAGAATCTAGTTGAGTGGAGTCCCCTTCTGCTTCTTTTATTTATTCGTTTTGGTTCACCATTTTCTCCTTTGGATTTTGGTTTTTTAATGATGTGTGGTCACAAAAGTGTGTAGAGATTCTCAGTCTTCCAGGTCATGGTTGTCCCAAAGGTGCTTTTTCAGGAGGCAACTGGACTTTATTGTTTTTTTCTTTTGAAGAAGTTTAGCTTCTTGGATAAGAAGCTTCTTATCTAAGAAGCTAAATGTCTTCAAAAGAAAAAACAAGGAGAAGTGGTTGAGAAGTCACAGGCCTTATAAATGTGTGAAATAAATATCTGCAACTCTTCAGAGCAGACTTTTCCTATGATTTTGCAGCAGCTACAAAGTGTAGTCACATAATCAGCCCTCTCTGAATACATTGTTCCTCATGTGTTCCTTATTTTTTGTATGTATTCCCTGGAAACTTACTACTTCCAGTTTAAACAAATTCTTTCCCTTAGCAATTTGCCAGATACTAAATTGAGTTATCCTTTTAAAAATGAGGGTAAGAAGTCAGAGGCAGATGTGCAAGTGTAAATGGCTATATACCAGTGATGGCTAACCTTTTTTGGCTCCCATGCGAAAAGCGGAGGGAGCGCAGGGGGGGTTGTGTGTGGACGTGCCAAACCCATATGTTATGTGTATGACCCAGTGTACATGCACACGTGACACCCCCTCCCAGCACATGATAGTGCCTCTGCCCCCCACTTTTGGTGCGGTTTTTTTGCCCTCCCCAGGCTCCAGAGGCTTTCTAGGAGCCTGGGGAGGGAGAAAACAGCCCCCCCCCCACGCTCCCCCTGGAGGTCCTCTGGTGCGGGAAAAATGGCCCTACAGGAACCTGGAAGTTTGGGAATGATGACTTCCGGTTTATCTGTAGGGGCATTTTTTGACCTCCAGAGCCTTCAAGAGGCTTCCCTGAAGGCTCCAGAGGGCGAAAAACAGCCCTACGGACAAACCGGAAGCCACACATGCCATAGATTCATATGGAACAGTTTCATCCTGTTTACTATTATACTAGTCACCCTTAATAAGCACCTATTCCTTCAATTCTTTATTAAGGAGGTGTTGATGAAGCATACAAAGCAGTTCAATTTCAGGCAAAGTATCAGGACTCTGTCCAAACAGACAAGTAGGGATCATAATTTAATGAATAGCTTCCAATATAATTTTAAGACAGTTTGATATGCTGGTTAAGGTATTTATGATATACAAGTAGGACTGAGAAGACTCAGTCATTGGTTGACTTTGGGTCAATAGTACATTCTAGGCAAAACTACATCTAGGACATCTCACCTAAGCCAATTAACCCTGACCATCTTGCCGCAGCCAACTCACCATTAGACAACTCATCATGACCAATTTGCCGCAGGACAAAAGTTACACTAATATCAAGAAATGGAATAGAATAATTAAAGAAAGGATGCCAAAGGATCCTTGGATGATGGATGGATGGATGGATGGATGGATGGATGGATGGAATGAATGTGAATGACAGAAATTAAAATAATTTTAATAGTTCTAAATAATTAAATAGAACTGGGGCAAGTTATCGCATTCTGGGCAAAACTTACCTCACAAGGTTTTTTGTGCAGATAAAATGAAGGGATTGTCATGAAAACTGCTTTCAGCTCTTGTATGAAAGATAAGATACTGTATATCCTTGATGAGTCATGAATGATGGTATAATGAAAAAAATAGAGTGCTTAGAACTATTTGCAGTATGAGCAAAAACCATCAATAATTTTTCTTTTTTCCAATTTTTCTCTTGAGGTCTTACTCTAGCACATCTGTTGAAGATCCAATGAACAAAGGGGGAGAACCACCAGCTCCCCCACCACGACCTCAAAAATCACATTCCAGAGCTTCCTCTTTAGACTTAAATAATATTTTCCAGCAAAACACTCACGGTAAGCTATAGAGTGCCTTAAATTTTCCCAGAAGATTAAATAATACTATAAAAAATTCAAACAGTTTAAATTCTTACCTGCCAAATATATTCCCTATTTTTCCCATAGTACAGTGTTTTTTAAAATGTGCTTCTAAAACCCCAAGACCTATTCAAGGGTTTTCAAAAATAAAGCTAGATTTTGTTGGATTGGATTGGATTTATTCAATTTGTATGCCGCCCTATTCCCGAGACACTCAGGGCGGCTAACAATCAAAGAGGGAAGGGGGTGCAGAA